GGTAAGCCTTAGAAGACTATGTCAAGCTTGAGAAGAGGAGTGAAGCGAGGCGTGCGCGCAAGTTGTGCCGCTCCAAGGCTTGAATTGATTGTCTTTACAATATTTTTTTAAGTCTAATTAAGGCTAAGTCTCATTCCTGTGCTGCTCGCAGGCGGCGGCAGAGAGGCGGCTATCTATGTACTTATGTACCTAATATATAAACATATCCCCTCTTATGTGTGGAGCGCGAGGGGTATGCACATGCGGTCCGTTCATGCAATTATGCCGACGCTAGCACTTTCTGGGTGTGGCCTAGCCATACCGATCGGTTCTTATTTCGGCCACCCTTTAAGTACTCGGTACAGTGGGTATTCAATATTAGTGCATACTACACATGCTAGCAATGTAATGTTAAATCACATTGCATATAACTTTTTACTTAATACAAAACTAATGTACTGGGTGTCGGGAATAGCAGTCAACTTTTGGAAAAAGCACCTACTTTTCAGCGAATGCAGCCCTCACTACAGGGGGTGTAGCGGATATAAAAGTTTCCCAATAATACGGCCAAAGTCAATAAACGGGTTAACCTGTGAAAATAAGTTCAATATTAATGTCCGAGAAAATATACGTTTGAGTAAAAAGGGCTGACACTGGAACTTTTTTATGAAGGTTTTCTCGTCTCTGTACCCTGAGAGAATTCCAACGTTCGAAAAATGGGTATTTGAATAAGGACTTAAAGCCTTTGTAGGCCATTGACATACATGAATACATAGTCATACAAAGACAATTACTGAAGACATTGCTCTGAAATTTATTCCAGAAAGACCTATCCTGAAAGTGGTGTCACTAGCATGTAATAAAAATTTAAATATAATACAAACTAGTAGATCTCAATGTATGGTTTCAACAACAAATAGAGCCAAAAACAAAAATGAAGGAAATTAAAATGGAAAATTAAGGTATTTAACAAAGTGTAGGATTTCCTTCGGTCTGTGATCGGTGTGTTTAGTTACCGACAAGAAGAATAGCACTTTAATTAATTAGGCCACCTCTTTTAATATATTGTTTAATTACTTAACAAAAATAAAATACATATTTATATGTAGTTTGAAAATACCTACAAAAATGTATCTACACAGGGCAAGTTTTAAAATCGCCCTAGAGCTACCCGATGCTTGACCTGAGTTATGTGCCACGATCTGAAGCCAGTTTTAGCAAAACTTTGGCTTGCAGTAAGTGTAAACATGTTTTCAGGTGTTGAAAGGAGAGGCAAGTAAATTTGCTGTTTGAGGCCGCCTCCCAGAACAAAAGGCCACAAACGATATTCAATTTATTTATATATATATTTTTATTATATAAGGATTGGCTGATATGAAGGAATTTTAATCAAGCAGATGGCCGGTTTCTCTCCGTTTAAGTTTGCGGTTTTGGTTAGCCGCATCTGCAAAATAAAAGTGATTTTCATGCATTTTGACCATTGTCGATGGAGTTAAAGAGGTTGCGGCTTCCATTCGTTCTAAACTCAAAATTGTTCAGCTCCTTTTAGAAATTATTCCCCTCTTTCATTGCTGGCAACAAGGTAAATGGCGGTCAAATGGAATTTTTTCACCAACCGAGGAACTTGTCATATTGTTGTGGGCATCTCCAAAATATTTACTTTGACCTGTGAAAACTTTCCGGCCATTGCTGAGGTCTGGGGCACCGCCCATAAAAGGTCAGTTGGCTGTCAAAAAGGCTTCGTGCCGAAAAGTTAAGCAATAAAATTCTGTGAGTGGGTGGAAATGTTGCACAGGAAAGTATGATGGGCTCTTTAAGGGGGTGAGGGTGATTCATTTGTTATTATACCATACTTAAAAGGGGTTTGGAATTTGCAAATGGTTTTGCTGTCAAACAAGTGATCACCGCTCAACTTCTTCTCTGAAAGTGATACACTTTCAAATGGTATCTTCTTAGAAAAGTCTTAAGGAAAACTGTTGCTGACTTGAGTATTGATCTTGATCAGTCTTTTTCAAATAAAAAAAATGTGCCATACGAGTAACATAAGGAAGAAAAGACTGTACTTAGAAAGTGATTAATGAAAAATCTTAAATTGTTTAGGCCCGAAGCTCCGACTAAAAGTCCCTACTTTGGATGGTTCATGTCAATGCTAAAAGCTTTATATGGATTGAAAGCACCTTCTGTTATTCCTTACAAATTTGTGTAGATTTAAGATTTTCTGTTAAAGTTGTTTACGTAACTTTCGTTTAGCTTTTTGCATTTTTTACGAGATCTAATAATTGAGCTATTGATCTAAACAAAATCGAATTGTAAGCTTGATTTAAGTTTCTCCATTAGGTATATACCAAAATGTCTTATTAATAATTGATTTTAACGGAAAAGGTTGGTAAAAAATAGACAATTGCATAGCATACACATCCTGACATGTGGAACTCAAATTAGGCAATGAAGTTTAATATTCCTTATAAAAGCTCAATCACTAAAATGCTTTTATTGTTAATGACTAAGTGGGAAACTCTAAGGAATATATTTAGTCCACGATTTCTTACTTAAATTGAACAGCGAAGTCAAAACAACAAAGCAAAATTTCTTCTTGTGCTTATTCCAATATTTAAATTCCCATCAAATGAAACACTTGACAAACGGCCACGAAAATACTTAGAGAATAATGGCATTTTCAGCGTGCTGTCTATGAAAGGCAGCACGTCGAGTGAGTCCTGACACTGAGAATCAAATTATCAACCTAATGGCATTATCAACATATATATATATTCGTATATATATGCCATATGCGGGCTATATACATACACGGCTTTCTCATTCATAAATATCGTTTTGTGGCGAAGGGGCTGGGACCACGAGTGCTTTTAGTTGCCTAATTGCTTGGGAGACCATTCAGGAATCTTATAAAAGGTATTTACCTAGCTAAGAATAGACGTTTCCATCTTTTAAATGTTATTGAGTTTTTACACTATTTATTTATTTTTTTATTATTATTAAATTATAATTTTTTTATAAGACTCTATTTTAAATTTGAAATTTTAGTAGGGATTTTTTCGTTTTTCTACACAACATAAAACATATATTTTTGTCATTTCAAGACGATATAATTATTAACTAGTATATATACAATTATATGAATGATATCTCATTAAAGTGTATTTAAAATGCCTCCGAACTCTCTCAAACGACTAAGTATCTAATTACACAATCTCCCTCCGCTCATTATCCTATTTCATTCAAGCTCCCATTTGTTTGGTCTGACTATTAAATTGGACATCAACTATCTGCTGGTTTAGCCAGTGATATATTTGGGGAATCTGTTTACCGTGACCTTGGCTATGTCAACAACAGCCGAAATCATTGCACGAATAGTGGTGTAATACAATCAATTACTTAATAATCCCCGAGCTAAACTTTGCATAAACAAAAGTGCTTGGCGAAGGAAAGAGCGGACCCAGGACAACAACAAATCCAGAGGCCGCCCGGCAAGGCGGCGGATTTAATAACAAAAATCAGCTGTTCGGAGTCCTCGCTCTCCCTATTTCCGCTCTGAAAGCTCGCGAAGGGCGAAAGCTTTTGTGCGTCGGCTGGCCATGTGGGGAAGCGGGTCAACGCTGCGTATGCGTTACGTTTCACTTTCTCTGCCGACGAAGTAGCCCAGCTTCTTCCATTTGGCGGCTGCTGCGACCCAATCAGACTCGTTCTGATTCGGTTTCAGTTTCAGTTCCCGTGCAAATCTCGAGTCGTCTGGTTGTGTGTCCGCAGGAAAATTCATCCAAAATTCCGGCGCAAGTCGCGCACTGATTTCGATTTGTGTTACGGCTGCTGCCACCCCGAAAAGTAGGCAACGCGAACTGTGCAAGAAAACCCCACTCAAGTCGTGTGTATCGGTCTTTAAAGTCCAAGCTTTGCTGGTGCGGGAGTTTTTCATGAATGAATCGCTCGGTCGGCAACGGGCTGTGTTCATTCTGGGCGATGAGTGCGCGGTCTGAAAGTCCAGGCGTGCCAAGCCTCATAATGGGCCTTCGATTGGAATTGATGAACATGCCCAATGAAATGAAAACAATGTAGGACGTTCTTTGGGAGGAACGCATCAAGGTGTCTGCTGGGGCAATTGGAAAGCGCTGGCATATTCGAAGACGGCAACTTTAACAGATCTATGAGATGTTAAAATATGATTAATTGTCGCCTACTTTTAGGTAGAGAATATTCATAAGTACTTTGAAGTGAAATCCGCTTGTCCTAATTATTCATTAGAATACTTCCTTTGGGTGATCTGTAAATTTAGTTATTAAATACTGTTTTCGGTTAATACTTTTGATTAACTGAACTAATTTGTCCATATATATGTTCTTAGTGGTAGAACTGCTTAGGGGAACATTTAATTTTCAAGAATCACATACACCTTAAATGAAGTGGATACCGTGTGGGTTTCATTGAAAGCTGTCATCTTCAGCTTCAGTTTTCAATTCGTACTCCCACATGTTTAAATTCAACTCACGTGCTGGACTTTTGGAAGCAGCTCAATAGAAAGCCGCACTGACTCAGAAAGATTATAAAAACTTCCTAGGCCTTTGCCCAAATGTGAAATATATATTTTAGAATGCGTCCCTTGTTAGACCCACAAAGTGTCGTCGTCGTTGTTGCTTTTGGCCCGGCCAATACGTGATCAGATCACACAAAAAACCGCAACACCGACACCAACAACAATCTGTGAGCGGGGGGAAATACCTTTCCATGCTCCTTTGAGTTTGCCGTCGCCATGGCTGCCATTAAAGATGACACACGCCAGCCGGCTGACGCCTGCTTACATTACGAGTACTCTGTAGGCATTCCGGTATCAATTCCAGCACGGTCATCATCGCTCATACGCACCGTATACCGACCGAGCGCGTCCCCGCCCGCTGAGCTTAATTGCCGAATATTTGTGCGCGACACTACAAAGGCGTTCCAGCAATTTGCCAGTCGAAAAAAAAAATGTTTACATTTTCAGGCAAACTTTTTGGCAGTCAAGGATATATGAGCCTAGGAGTTTAAAATTACCAAAAGGCACTAGCTGGAACGCGGATAAAGTCGAATGGTCTACGCGTTTTAATTGCCTCCCGAAGAAGGGGTTTCCTCCTCTCTAAAAGTTTGCGTGTGTGCGCTCGGGCGAAGCGGGCGTGTCACAAGCGAGCCGAGGACCTCCAACAGGACAAATCTCCTGCCAGACAAGCCTTTCGGCTGTCGACAGTCATCAAAGCGGCTTAAAGTTCCAGTATCCAGTGCAAACCGTCTGGGCCAAACAGACGCACTCTCTAGCATTGGGCCCGTGCTGGTAAGTTGCTTTGAAATTGTAGGCCTCTAGCTTATGTTACGTATACGCCAAGTGCAACAGCAGTCAGCTAAGTCAGTTAAGCTCATCGGTACTTTGCTTGCAGTGAAAATCGTATATCGAGAGGAAGTTTTTTCCATGAAATTGCATGTAAATTAGAAAATATTTATAAAGCTTGCTGTGTTCGTCATTACCTAAAAATATAACCTATCAGAATTTAAACTAACTGTATTCTCGACATAGGATTTTTATACCCGTTACTCGTAGAGGGTATATTAGATTCGTTGAAAAGTATGTAAGAGGTCGAAGGAAGCGTTTCCGACCCTATAAAGTATATATAGTCTTGATCAGGATCAATAGCGAAGTTGATTAGGCCATTTCCGTCCGTCCGTCTGTCCGTCTGTCCGTATGAACCCTGAGATCTCAGGATCTGTTGAGATTAAGTAGGCAGATTTTTGAGGTCCCTACGCAGCGCAAGTTCATTTCACCATCCTGTCACGCCCACAAACCGCGGAAAATTGTGGCGTCCAGTTATTTGACAAAAGGTGGCGCTTTGTGTATTGCCATTAGTAAAATGAATATTTTAAAATTTAGTAAAACAGTAACGGGTTTCCTATAGCCGCGGCATTCGACTATAGCGTTTCTTCTTGTTTGGATTAGAAATAAACTATGGAGAATATTGAAAAATTATAAATATTTTATGCGGATGTTTTAACAAAAACCATATCATTACCCTGGATGGGGGAGAAATAAGGAACATAAGTTGATAGGGTAGTAAGTTAATTAAAGTTAAAAGACCCCGTATGGGCAGTGACGTCACAGTCAGTTAATAAATTTTCCTTAGTAGTGGTATTACCAACAGATGATGCCAAGATGATTTTGTAATTTTTTTTTGTATCGGATTCGCAATCGAGATGCTTTATTGTAAACATGACATGACCTAATTGCTGGGGTGTATTAACATTCGATAGGCGAAGCTAGCGTGTTTCTGGTTTTCAAATAAAACGTTTTTTAATAAACCCGATTTAAAGAATAAATTATTTCGAAATTAGGGTAGCTCACAAGTATATTTATTTTGAGGCAAACATAACGCTGGGTTCTCTGACTGGTTTTCTAGATGATTGTTGCTTTCGCAGCGACTTGTTCCCCGAATAACCAGCTTGTCAGGTAAACACTCGTGCTTATCAAATACCAGTAACGACTTGACAAAAAAGAAAATGAAATAAAATTGATACAGGTTAAAAACAAAGCCAGGTGAAGCGAGCTATGCGCGCAAATTGAAGCGTCAAAGTCACACAAAAGTCAGACAGGCACTTTATTAGAAACAACAAATGCTATATCCTTGGGACTGGCTAAGTCGATAAACTTTCTGCAGGAGGACAAACGATGTCCAGAGACATGTGGCAACAGAGTGTAAAGCTCGCTGTATGTCTTTCTGAGGACGAAATGCCAGCGATTTGCATGCCACTTGGCAGTTAATAAAGAACGATGCTGAGTTGGGTCAAAGTAGTGGGCTCTTAAATAAGTGGAAAAGTTAAATAAACGCTGTTGGTTAATAATTTGTTGAGGTGCCAAGATATTTTGACATGTCTGATATGTATGCTATTAGTTTAGACTTTAGACATAACTTTTAACCGACCTCGAACACAAATTCCTTTCAATTCGTTTGAACGGCAAGCATTAGAACTATGATTACTTCAGATTCCTGGCTTCTCCAACATCGCAACCATCCTCAAGGGCGAAGGAACAGTGTATGCTGAAAATTATTCTAAGTTTGCTGTCAGGCTCTTTCAAGTACGCCCAACTTCTTAGAAGAACTTAAGCGGTTCCTAGAACCAGGTTCCATCCGCGTGCTGTCTGCTTGTACTCAAAGTTGGCGAGTTGTCGCATACGCGACATAAATCCAAGCACATACACAAATACTTAGCTATAAGTATGTATACAAGGCCTATCCAGGACATAAAGTTCTGTGGAAGGACACTTTTTGTTGCGGAATTTGGGGGGGTCCTCAAGTTGGAGCGCTTTACGAGAGGCTGTCAAAAAGCCAAGTGAGACGTTTGTCCTCACAGTCTTTACAACTTCCGGCTTGTGGCTTCAGCTTCAGCATTTTGCTTGGCTGCTTCCAAAAGTATTCAACAGGATGGTGGGCTCTAACAAATTTTGAAAAGACAAAACCACGTAGGCTATGTGCTGCAGTCGGTGGCTAGTCACTCGATCTTTATAAATTGTCTTCTGACACAAAACGAACATTGGTAGACCGCATAAAAGGTAGTTTTAAGACATGGGGGGTTAATAGTTATATATCTGTGTATTACCGTATTTGATTGGCGTTAACTTAAAAGCGTAATTAATTAAGACAGCATGAAATGAATATAAACAGGGCTTGATAGCTTTTTGTTTAATCAAAGCAAGATAAATGGGATTAACGTGCAGCTTTCATTGACACAGTGACAAACAGTGCGGCATTGTGATTTTCATTTCCTATACAAAGTTTTACATATGGTAAACAGATTCTCCTCCTGGGAAATGGAAAACTAACTCACTGGCAAGAAATGAGTTTTGCTTGCAACAATCAGTTGCAATCTGTTTGGCTGCAAACTGGGCTTTTCCATGCTATTCTTTTACTTAACTAGATCAGTGAAAGTCCGTTTATTATTACTGCTGAAGAAGTTATTAAGAAACTAAGGTATTACTTTTAGGAAATTTGCTTACCAAGGTTTTACCAAAAGATGCTGCTCTATTAGTTAAAGATGGATTATCAGTTGGTGGAACAGTTGTATGGAATATTATTTTGCTCGTAGGGTTATGGATTATTGATAATGGCGGCACATAGCTACAGCCTTCCTTTCTGTTTTAACATTTAGTCTTCACAAGCTGAGCCAATAGCAAACTAAATCTGCTTTTAGTTTGTAGTAAAATAATTAGGTTTGAGAACATCTTGTAGTTATCTGCCTTAAATATGCCAAATGTATTTACTTAAAGTATGTTTGGCCGTGTTTTTGGAGTTTACAATGAAAAATTGATATGAATTTTCCATTAAATTAGCAATTTTTAGCTGTTTAGGGCTGTGAAAAGAAACTCATCATTGAAATTATGAACCCCCATGGAATGCTAATGAAATGATGGGCGCGGCCCAACCCATTCAGGTTGGCCGCCTTTCACTTAACCTAAGCGGCTTTCCAAAGAACTTATGCTAATTTTTCTCTTTCCATCTGGCTCAAACATCTTTCACGTAAACTTTTAGATACAAATATTTTATTCTTTTATGAGTTTTTACCACTTTTTGGTATCTTTCCTTCTGCGAGCAGGCCGAAAATCTTTTTTAAATGTTTTATAAGCTGCCATTTTCTGCCTTTTTCATTCCCCTTTATGCCAAGAGTTTTTTAGTCTTTAATATTTATTTGTGTTTATGTATGAACTCGAATTAGGGAAATCACTGTCGGGGAATTAGGGTGATGGGCAGAGAATATCACAGCGCTAACTGTGTATTCCTCATTTAATGAATTGGATATTCATTTTTTGCCGCAGGATTGCAAATATTTAAAATAGCCTTTCACATAACATACCCAATTTATGCTGTATTTATTGTATGCGGTTAATTTAAAATATGAATTATTATGTTTATTTGTTAAGCGTATTTAGTATTTTTGTACGGCGGAATATTTCATATTTAATTCCTTTTGTTTTGCCCATTAAATGCGAATCATGAATCAAATTGTTGTTGTGATTTTGTAAATTAATAATCGGAAAAGAGTTGTTTTTTCACTATTTCACTATTAAAGCGAAGGAGCATATTGGATAGAGTAAAAGGGTATATTCGACATATATATTTGTATATTTTATACATTTCATACCTAAATCTGGCTTGCACAAAATCGTTTCCATCAGCTATTGGCCTACTTTTTCTGCATTCTCACTTTTCTCCAACGTGCGTTTGTAGGATGCTGATTTTTGTCTGCAATAGCTATACCCATTTGTTTACCCTGCGGCTCTTCACTAAAATGTTGACTTTCCCAGTCGAAAAGAGAGCGTAAAATCGAAAATTGTTTGCTATTTTGCTGACCCACATATCCGTTTCATATTCGACACCCAGCTGTATCTAACTCGCTGCCACGCATTGTACTGCGAAGCACATTTGTTTACTCCCCACACACACAAACACACACACACACACGCCCCACACACTGCAATCTGCTTTAATGCCATATTAAGGAAAGCTGAATGGAATTGAAAAATGGGAAAATGGAAAAGTGGAAAGAGCGAGAGAGCGCAAGGGGGCGGCGCACATACACACATGAATGCGTAAATAGTCAACAGAAAAAAGGAGGACGGAACAGCGGGAAAACTGAGAGCGGAGCGGAAGCAGAAAAAATTAAAAAATACTACCAGGCTGATGGTAAGTTCGGGTGTGCAAAATAAAATCAGCTACAAATTCTAATGGAGTCCTTTTTGGAATCTGAAATTCGTTGAAGGTGCGGAAGAAAAGTACATAAATTTGGGAACAGAGCGATGGAACATGGATGCATCTCCTTTGCTTTTTGTCTTTGTGCATTTACTCCGAGACACAAACGCGCTCCCAGTGCTAATTTATCATGTCAGATATGATTTAAAGCCCCGCCACGCCCACTTGCACACGCCCTCCCCAACGAGCTGCAAAGTATGAAGGATAGCGGCAGCAATAGCCACAAGCTTAGCGTTTATGGCTGCAGCTCAGCCACACCCCCACAACCCCACAACCCCCGATATTCCAACACTCCAATTCATTTCGAATTTGTTGGTCGTAATGATAAACAACGCTATTTGTTGAATAGCTATGACAGCTTAATCGGTAGAGAAGCACTTCACACACAGAGCATTAGCTTTATTCCTGCCAGTTTATGCGGATACAAAGGTAAATTGACAGTGGGCAACATTTCAGCCACATACTCGGATCAATTATCCAAGCAAATGCCTGTAATTACTGCAACTAATTAAGCGGCTAATCAGGCCGAACCAAATCTGTC